ATGTTCTCACATGAACCTCTCCCTGCTGCAAACCTAATACTGACCCATCAGGTTGGTCTTTGCTCAACTTGGAAGAAACAATCACAACTTCGTCTTCATCACTGCTAATAGTTTGACTGGCATATCTTCCCTCCTGGGAAATCACACACTCTCTGGATGTCAGGTCCTTCTCTCCAGCATCTACCTTCATTTTTATTCCTTTGTCCCTGCTGCTTTTTGAGTCTCCCTTTCTGAATTGCTCTTCTCTCGGTGGCTCAGTATTTGCTTTTTGGCTGTCAAGGCTTGGGGACGACAACTTTAGTTTCCTTTCTCTGTGTAAGGCATCTTTCACTGGCTTAATGCAAGCTCCCTCCTCTATGTTCTCAGAGGATTTCTCTGACTCCCTACTAATGCCATATTTCTGTTTATCCCCAAAAAGGTCTCTCTCTTTCTGAGTCTCCAACTGACTTGACTTAGCTTTGGATTCTGTGCCCTTCCAAAGTTGTGCGTCACTCCTCTTCTCCTCAGACTGCTTTTTCTTAATCTTCATTTCCACTGGAAGCTCTCTTCCCAGCTGGGATTCAGGTGTCAATTTCTCCTCCTCCTTTTTATCCAATGCCTGCTCTCTCTTTTCCTTCTGTTTCCCTCCTTCAGTGGTATTTTTCTCCCTATTGTCTTCACTAAGTAGTTTCCAGGAGGACAGTTCACAATTCTTATCTAGAACTCTGAATGGATTTCGCTGACCATTGGGATTAAGGAATAGTTGTGATGCATGCTGAGGTTCTGTATCTACTGACAGTTTGGTGGCTTTGGGATCCTGCAAGAGATTCAAATAAAATTAATTCTTTAGTACATGACTTAGGAAAGAACATTACCCAATCAACAGCCTCAACCCTACTATAACCTACTCAAGCAAAATATTCACTTCTATGATCACCCTTCCCATAACGCCGACTGGGCTACATCATAGCCATCATCTTTCTGTTTGAGTACTATTAAGCCCTTGACTGTAGAAGGCACTAATGAAAAGCATAAGGCTGATTCCATGCACCCACTGCCCATCTACTCCACACCAGGAAGTAAGCAGGATGTCTCATCAGCCACACAGCCGCTGGAAATGAGGCTAAGGGAAAAAGATGACAGACCATGGCTGGATTCAGAATTCAAGTTGCCTACTTCACAGATTACTCCCTGTACATTGAACCTGAGGCTGTTAGTTTTATCTAAGGCAATAAAGACCCCAACACTGCACTATAGAACCCACAGCTCTTCACAAGCTGAACTAGTAGGTGCATAATGAACAAATGTAAACAATCGCACACTGCGTGAGCAGCACATAGCTTACGTATAAATGACAAACTTGTACCTGCCATGGGATTCTCCCACACCATCTCTTCCCTTGCATCTTACTTTTAAGGCATCGATAATGCAGCCTTTTGGACAATAAAAGAAAACATGAGCTGATAAGGTCGTATATGTATTATAGCTGGTTATGTTCTGCTACAGAGGATTTTTTAAATTTTAGTTTGTACAAGCAGTTGTCCCTGAATCTCTGGATCTGCACTTTACAGGGCTTTGTATGCATTTAGTACATCCCTCTTGATCTTTAGAAAACACAAGAGATCAAACTTATTAACTGACAATGCACAACTTTCTATAATATTAAAATCCTCTGGATATATTCGCTTCCTCTGCTTATAGTTCCTCTATTGACTTGAAAACTCAAAGCGTGGTGACAGAGAACATGCAACATGATTCAGTCACTGATTATGATCAAAGTGCTGGGGACTCGTCATGGTTTATCAAAACCCAAATTTATTATTTTTAAATGCACTGAACAGCCCATCTCTTCTTTTAAGCCTTCTGGAGAAAGGGATGGAGAGGAATTAGGCTGTAGAATAAAAGGGGGACTTCTTTTTATAAATTGGCAGTTGACAAACAGAGCTCTGTGAGATGCTTTTACTGGATTGCGGCTGTTTCCTATTTATTGTGAATTTTAACTGAATGCATATTAAGAGCTTATGTGGGATCACAAACATAAAACTGTACCAAAGTCAAGCCCTGTTTGATAAAACAAGGCTGCTTTCTAGTAAACAAGTGGATCACTGAATAAAAGGAGTTGGCTCTTAATAAGAAAGGAACCAACATTCTGAAAGATACTGAATAAATTAATCAAAAGATGGAAGAACAATTATAAGAAAGCCTTGTTAACATTTTTCAAGCAAGACATTGGGGGTATGTCTAGACTATATGGCTCCGTTGACAGAGCCATGTAAACCAGTGTACCTGGCATAGGCAAAGAAGCAGGGATTTAAATAATCCCCGCTTCATTAAAATAAACATGGCCTCCGCGCTGTGCCGATGATCAGCTGATCTGGCACAGCACAGCAGTCTAGACACAGATCAGTCGGCTGGGGAAACTTTTGCCGACCGATCCTGTAAGCCTCGTTTAAAGCTCCGCATCTCCCTGGTCTGCTGGGGGGGGGGATTGGAAGGGGGCAGCCAGGGCGCCCCCCCCCCCCACACAGCCCGG